CCCCGTGCCGGTGCACCGGGAGCGGCGGAGCGGCAGGGGGCAGCCGCCGGCCGAGCCCCGAGCTGTGCCCGGGCACGGGGCACCGGGAAAGGGGGAAATGGGGCACCGGGTACCGGGAACTGGGCACCGGGAGAGGGGGAACCGCACAGCCCCGGCGAGGATCCTGCCGGGCTCGCCCCGGGACACCGCCTCCTCAGAGGAGGGAATCGGCCAGCCCCGGGAGGGAGCGGACGGCCCCGGCCCGGGGCACCGGGCAGCTCCGGTCCATCGAGAGCCCCGAGGCGGGCACGGGCAGCTCCACCCGGGGGAACGCGCCGCCCCCGCCGCCGCTGAGGCCGGTGCCGCCGCCGGGACGGGGCGGGGCGGGACGGGACGGACGGGCGGACGGGACGGGCGGCTCCTCCCCGCCTCCGGGACGGGACGGGACGGGCGGAGCGGGCGCTCGGTGCGGGCGGTCACCGCCGCTCTCGCCATGCGGGCGCTGCTGCTCCCCGCGCTCCTGCTCCCGGCGCTGGCCACGGTGCGCGGCGCCGCCACGGTAAGGACGGGCCGGACCGGCACCGGCACCGGCACCGACTGGGGTCGGGACCGAGATCGCGATCGCGGCCGGGAGCGATCCCGGCGGTGCTCGGGAGCGGGCGGGGGCAGCTCTGTCCGTAGGGGACCGGCCCGGTGTCCCCGGCGGTCGCTGCTCTCGGTGTCCCGGCGGAGAGGCGCGGGCGCGGCCCGTCCTGGGCAGCGGGCGGGGATCCCGGGACGGGCTGGGGTCCGTGTGCCGGTGTTCCAACCGCGGCGGGGGCTCGGCGCAGGGAATGGCCCGAGCGGCGGGCGCGTTCGAGCGCTTGGAAGGTGCCCAAGCCCCGGCGCTGCGCKGATGGGCGCCGCAATGAGCGACTCCGTGCCAGAGAGAACAGCCCAGACAAGCCTTTCCCCCTCGGGGAGCAGAGCGGGACCGGGCAGCGCGGGGAGCCAGCCTCCCCCGTGCATCCAGGAGCCCTCGGTTCCAGCTGGAACACGTCTCCCACGGGGTCAGTGGCCGGAGCGGGGCCGGAGCGGGGACACCGGGACCCAGCCCAGGGGAATGGTGGTGGGAGCAGCTACTGCTAGGATCACCAAAATGTTAAGAAGTAAACATTTTCCAAGGCGTTTGGTGGAAAACGACGTTAATGCAGCTGTTGTCGGCAGTACTTAGCTCGGAACAGATATCCCGAGCCTGGAATGCCCTGTTGCTGGCTTTCCCGGTGGGGTGCCAGGACTGATGCTGGCAGGACTCAGAGATCCACGTGGTGCCGTCGCCTCCTCCATCCCTCCCTCCCTCCCTCCCCGCAGGTGCTGCCTGCTGTGCTCAGGGGTGTTTTCCTCGTTCTTGCCGTTGGATGAGATGCCATCGGTGGGCATGCGTGTGCCACACAAGCACTTGGCATGGCCGTGTCCCCGTGACCGACACGGGATGCCCAAGCAGCGCCAGCGCCGGGGGCCTGGCTGCCGTCAGCCGTGTCCCAGCCCTGCCAGCACCGTTCTGCCTCAGCTGCTGGACGTGTGTTGGCACCTTGTGCCAAGCCTGGGTGGAGGAGGAGGAAGAGGAGGGTGACATGGTTTCCCTCCCGTGATGGGGACATGCCTTCCAGCAGCTGTGCCAGAGGCGTGCGGTGCAGCAGCTTATCAACACTGCATGTTTTCCTCCGAGATGARTCCTCTGGCTGCAGCCAAAGGACAGCTTAAAAGCCGGCCAAGGGTCATTGTCAAAGGTCCCGCTTTCTCCAAATAATGTCACAAACTCTGTGCTCACATGGATGTGCAAGAAATCCCAGAAACCAGAAAAATTACCCAGCTCATAAAACTTAGAGTGAGTAAACCTCAGCAAAGTGCAGTGACACTCTCCCACACCAGCCRTGGGTGTGCAGCCCCTGTGGAGCTGGAAACCACAGTGGAGGAGAGGCAGCAGCCACCTGCCAGAACCCTGCAGCGAGCAGGGGGATCCAGGGAGAGAAGCACCAGAGCCCTGCAGGGCTGCACCAAACCCCCGTGCAGGCTCCTTGGGGAGCTCASGGATTCCCTCCTGGAGCAGGAGGAGCAGCATGAACTGCCTCCTGCTCGCACATCCCCACCCACCTGTGCACTGTCGGGGTGAGGGTCTGTGTGTCCCTGCGGGCTGGCAGAGGGCACCCAGCCCATGTACCCCGGTGGGTGACCCTCACAGTGTCCCCACGCGGGAACCTGTTTTTTAATACTTCCTCGTTCATGGGCTTTTCTGTATGAATAGAGCGTGCAGTTCCTGTTTAAGGAAGCTGGTAACAGGAGAGCGAGGTTTAGTGTTACGGCCCCGGTGAAAGTGGGCGGCCGCCCCGGCCGCGCTTCAGTGAGACACACGCGGGATGGAGYGGGAGGGTCTCTGGGGAGGGACTGACCCTTCATGTCATGGGAGAGGCCCTGTGTGCCGGACACCTCCACTCTGAGCGGTGTCACATCTGCTGCGGTGCGTTCGCTGCTTTGGGCACCCCTGTGCTCTCGCCCCAYCTGAGCGGGACATGCGGGACCCCCACAGTGTGCCGGGGCTGTGGGAGGGGATGCACAGCCCACTGTCCCTGCTCCCTCAGGAGCGAGCTCCCAGCACGGCCATCTGCAGCCCTGCAGAAGGTGCTGAGAGCAGGTGCCACCACAGCGTGTGCCCGGTGTCGCCGGGCTGTACCGCAGCCGGGCCACCCTCACCGCTCGCTGGTGCTCTGGGCGCTGGCAGGAACGGGGAACCCCAGCCTGGAACTCCAGTAGGGCCCCCCAGGATCTGGCATGGGGTTCCCACAGGGATGTGTGTGCCACCAGGAGCTCAGGCAGCGGTGGACATTGCTCGTGGCCGGGACAGCGCAGTTCGGGGCCGGGTGTGTGCAGAGGGGCCGGCTCTGAACCGTGCTGCCTGTTTGCACAAGCGCCCAGGGGGAAGGTCAGGGGCCACGGGGACCTGTGAGCCTGGCGAGGTGGTGTTTGGGGAGGGGGTCCCTGCCCTGCTCCCTGCTGAGAGTTTGATTAGATTCTGCTCCATTTACAGCCCTTTGGCTCCCTGGTGTTTTCCTTCAGCCAGCAGGACCCGGTTTCCCTTTGAACGAAAGAGGGGTTTTTTGAAATGCAAAACGTGTGAAGTTCTGCAGCTCTTCAGGAAAGGGAGGAAGCGCTGTCCCGTGTGGGCTGTGGGGAGCTGTGGGTCCGTGCCCAGCTCGGAGCAGAGCGCAGGGAGGAGGATCCGTGGGTGCTGCCGCAGCCGGGACATGGACCCCGTGCGCCTCTGCCCTTTCCCACGCTGCGCTGTGCTCCGCCGCGCTTCGGCAAGGACCGGGAGCCAGAGCTCAGCYTGTTTCCCAGCTCTGCCACCGTTCTGGTTCCCAGGATGAGTCAGAGTCCCTGTGGGCAGAGCCCTCTGTCCCCGGGGTCACCGCGCCGCCTTTCCCTCTCCCCCGCCCTCCCGGGTGCTCGGAGCAGGCACATCCCAGCGCACCGGACACCCGGGACAGCGCACCGGACACCCGGGACAGCGCACCGGACACCCGGGACAGCCCACCGGACACCCGGGACAGCGCACCGGACACCCGGGACAGCGCACCGGGACAGCCCAGGTGTCCCCGCGGGTGCAGAGATGGTGGAAGGGGGTGAGAAGGACTCAGTTTCCCTGTTCTTGAGAGCAATGAGAGGACTGGGCTAGACCAGCTGAAAAGCACCCTGGGYTCTGTGGCGTGAGTCAGGGCCGTGTGTGGGAACAAGGGAGTCCTTGAGCGTGTGCCTCGGGCCATCGCGGCGCACTGAGGGGCCGAGCTCACCCCGAGGTGCCTGCGTGTCACCACGAACAAGGAGCCCTGTGTGGGTTTGGAGCTGTGCTGGGGGGCACAGAGGCGCTGCTGGCTCTGCCTGCCACCATCCCTGCTCGCTGCGGTCCTGCTGGGGGCTGAGCCACCAAACGCGCTGGTGATGAGCAGGGGTTTGGGTTTTGTCGCTGTCAGGCTGCGTGCAGAGGGCTGGGACCGGGGGCTCTGGGCCAGCAATGCCTCACACGCTTTGGGGCAGCGGGAAAGATCTCTGGGCAAGCAGCAGTGAGGGAATTGTCCCTGTGGGACACCCGGGTGGAACAGCAGGCTCACCGCGTGTTCCGCAGGCTCTGGGTGATGTGGACCAGGTCCGGATGACCTCGGAGGGCTCCGACTGCCGCTGCAAGTGCATCCTGCGGCCGCTCAGCAAGGACGCCTGCAGCCGCGTCAGGAAYGGCAGCGCTCGCGTGGAGGATTTCTACACCGTGGAGACGGTGAGCTCGGGGGCCGACTGCAAGTGCTCCTGCACCGCGCCCCCCTCCTCACTCAACCCCTGTGAGAATGAGTGGAAGATGGAGAAGCTGAAGAAGCAGGCGCCTGAGCTGTTCAAGGTATCTGTGGTGTGGTGGGGCTGGGGTCCTGACCCCTCCCCGTGCCCCTGCCCCAGCCCCAGCCCTTACCCCGGGCCCGTCCCTGTGCCCTCTCTCAGCTGCAGTCCATGGTGGACCTGCTCGAGGGAACGCTGTACAGCATGGACCTGATGAAGGTGCACTCCTACATCAACAAGGTGGTGGCCCAGATGAACACGCTGGAGGAGGTGAGTGACCCCCAGCAGCACCATCCCGTCCCCCGGGATTGCTCGGGATTGTTTGGGGTGCCACAAACTCCCTGGAGGTTGGGCTCCAACCTCTTCTCTCCTGCAGACCATCAAGACCAACCTGAGCAGGGAGAATGACTTCATGAAGGAGAGCGTCCAGCACCTCACCGACCAGATGAAACGCTACGAGAACTACTCTGACATCATGATCAGCATCAAGAAGGAGATCTCCAACCTGGGCTACCAGCTGCTGCAGAAGGACGCGGCTGCCATCCCCGAGAGCAAGGCACAGGTACCCTGGGSTGTGCCTCGCTCCCCCGAGCTGGGGATGCATTGGGGCAAATCCTGGGCTGGTGGCTGTGCCCAGTGCCTGGCACGGTGGCAGCAGGGACAGGAGGGATGGGAGGGATGGGAGGGATGTGAGGGAAGGGGCTGTGATCAGGCTGTGCCCCCCAGGACACAACAGGCGGCCGAGAGAAGGAGGCAGCACGGTACCCCAGCACCCGCAAGGCCCTGGGGGACAGAGCRGGCCCCCGGCCACCCAAGGAGAAGCTGCTGAAGCCTGACAAGCCCAAAAAGGAGAACAGCAAGGCCAGAGCGGGCTCACAGCCCACGGCCAAGCCCAAGCCCCTGGCACACCAGCAGACTGTGGTCCGAGGCATCACGTACTACAAGGTCGGGCAGGCTGGAGCAGCGGAGGGTCCGGCCGGCAGCCGCGGTGAGCCTGGGCCGGGGCAGGACTGGGAGGGCCAGGAGTGTCCCCAAACCCGCTAACCCCAGCTTGTGCCCCCGCAGAGGGCTCCRTGCGAGGGGCAGCCGTGCCAGAGCAGCAGCAGGACAGGGGCCCCGTGGCCAGCCTGGCTGAGGGCACCCCGGCCCAGGCCGTGGCACAGACGGAGAGCACAGTGGTGCTCAGCAGCACAGCCGTGCCCAGCACTGCCCCTGTGCCCCGCAGCACCGCCCGCAGCCCGCCCGGCCCGGCCCCCGGGCACAGCACCCACAGCACCGGGGGCTCCGAAACCCCCAACAGAGGTGGGTGAGCAGGGGACAGCGGGGAGGGGGCCCAGGGCCATGGGCAAGCTCCACTGGCAATAGTGTGCCATGGGGAGTGAGGAGGAGGCAGCTGCCTGGGGCAGGGATGAGCCTTCCTTTCCTCCCCCTGGTACCAGTGAAGGAGGYGGAGTGTGAAGGCACCATCGAGTCCGTGGAGGCCCCCACGGAGCACCACAGCTACGGGCGCAAYGAGGGGGCCTGGATGAAGGACCCAGCAGCCAAGGACGAGCGCATCTATGTCACCAACTACTACTATGGCAACAGCCTGGTGGAGTTCAGGAGCCTGGACAACTTCAAGCAGGGTGAGAGTCAGCAGCCGATGGGTGCAGGGGCCCTGGCTCCTCCTGGGTGGTGTCCAGTGCTGGGTGGGCTCTGGGGCAGCTGGGGGGGCATCCCAAACATGGGACAGAAGGGGGACACAATCCCCTGCCACTGCCAGCATGCTCTGACCATCATGCATGGGACCCCTGTACTCTGGAGGGTCCCAACACCTCTCCCACCCACTCMCAGGCCGCTGGAGCAACCTCTACAAACTGCCCTACAACTGGATTGGCACSGGGCACGTGGTGTACCGAGGAGCCTTCTACTACAACCGTGCCTTCACCAAGAAYATCATCAAGTACGACCTGAAGGAGCGCTACGTGGCGGGCTGGGCGCTGCTCCACGATGTGGTGTATGAGGACACCACGCCCTGGAAGTGGAGGGGCCACTCGGACATCGACTTTGCCGTGGATGAAAGCGGGCTTTGGGTCATCTACCCCTCCGTGGACTACGACTACTCACAGCAGGAGGTGATCGTCCTGAGCCGCCTTGACCCCGGGGACCTCTCGGTGCGCAAGGAGACCACCTGGAAAACGGGGCTGAAGCGCAACAGCTACGGGAACTGCTTCATCATCTGCGGCATCCTCTATGCCGTGGACACCTACAGCCAGAAGGAAGGGCAGATCTCCTACGCCTTTGATACGCACACAAACACGGAGGCAGAGCTGCGACTGCCYTTCCTCAACCACTACTCCTTCACCACGCAGGTCGACTACAACCCCAAGGAGAAGGTGCTCTATGCGTGGGACAACGGCCATCAGATGACGTACGGGCTGCGCTTCGTGCTCTGAGTGCCCGTGCGGGTCACACTGCACTCCTGCGCCTGCCCTGCCCCACACCCGGCTGGGGCACCCCGACACAGCCCGGCCCTGGCACCCCAACCCCAGCCAGGGCTCTGGCAAAGCCCAGCTTACCCCGAAACCTTCCCCATCCCCTGTGCCTGTCACCTGCGCTGCAGGGCAAGGAGAGCACACAAGAGCAGCCCACAGCAGACACCCCCAGGACAACGTGGCCCCTGGGGCCGTGGCAGCTCCGCTGGCATTGCCTTCCTGGGATGAAAGAGGAGCCCAGCCCCACATCCCTCCGCCACTGCWGGCACCACTGCCCTGCACCAGCACCCTGAGCACCCTCCTGCACTGCCCCAGCCCTGCTGCTCCCCGCACACCCACGGGCACCGTGCCAGCACCGGGACAGCCCCACAGCCCAGCCTGTACCCAGCCCCGGGGGCGGGCAGGCCCCTCACTGCCAGCCCCCAGGAACAGGTGCCAGTCGCTATTTTAGGAAATGTGGTTAAGATGCCTTCGCTTTTGCTGACCATGAGCTTGTTATTTAAATACCTTCACCGGAGGCCTGCGAGTCCCTTCAGCAGCAGCGTGGAGGAGCCTGCCCGGGGTGTCCTGCCCGCACAGCCACCTGCACGCCCACCCTCACACCGGCCCTCACCCAGCCCTGCACAGGGCAGCCCACGGGCCTCTCACTCCCCGGGTGAGGCAGAGTGAGGGGCTGCGAGCGCTTGGCTTGGTTTTGGTCATTTTAGACGTGAGCAGTATTAAAACATTAACAGGTGTGAGAGCAGGCTGTGTGTGTTGTCATTGGCTCTGAACCTGGGCACGGAGGAGTGGCCAGGGTGGGTGCTCGCCATCCCCAYCCCTCACTGTCCCTGTCCYTYGCCATCCTCGTCCTCTGGGCCAACTTCCACGCTCAGGAGTGTCCCGGGGTTGCTGTCACCCGTGGCTGCTGTTCACTGCACRCCTTGCAGGCACATCTGCCCACACCCGGCCAGGCCGGGCACCCCTCATTCCCCCAGCGGCACCAGCGCGGTGCCAGGGCAGCGCAGAGCAGGAGAGCCCCTGCCGGGTCTGGGGAGAAGGATCTCGGGCATTGTCCGGCCTGAGCAGCAGCCCTGGAGCCCCGGGAATCAAGGCATGGAGAAGCTGAGAGTGGGCACGGCCGGAGCCGCTGAGGCTGGGCACGGCTGGAGAGGGTGAAAGTGGGCACGGCCGGAGCCGCTGAGAGTGGACACGGCCGGAGCAGCTCAGAGTGGACACGGCCGGAGCAGCTCAGAGTGGACACGGCCGGAGAGGGTGAGAGTGGACACGGCCGGAGCAGCTCACAGTGGACACGGCCGGAGCCGCTCACAGTGGACATGGCCGGAGCGGTTCACAGTGGACACGGCCGGAGCCGCTGCCCCGGAGCTGCGGCATCCTTGGCAGGCGCGGAGCTGCCGGGCCCGGTGAGAGCAGTCCCTGCGGCCGGTGCCCTCCCGGTCCTGTCCGAGAGTGCGGGGACAGTGTCCCCTCGCCGGCCGGTGGCCACGGGCGCCTCGTGCTGCGGAGCCGCCACCGCCGGTGTCTCTGCATGCGGGAATGTTTCCCGCTGCGAAGATCTGAAGCTGTGCCAGGCGCGGGGCAGTGTGGCACCCCCTCTCCTGGCCCCTCCGTTCTCCTCTGGCTCCCGCAGCCCCGGCCGCCCCTGCCCCGACCCCCGCGCTGGCCATGTGCTGCACCCCTCGCTTGGCCGCGAGTCCTCGCCACCAGAAAGGAGCCGGCTGACTTTTCCCCCCGACTGGGTCCCTGCCAGGCTTTTATCTAGCGATCCCCAGCAAATCCCTGTCCAAACAATACGGATTTCTGACATTTTTTTGTGGTAAAGTAAACTCCCAGCACATCTCTGATTCCAGAGCTTTGTTGTTTTTCCGCAGGGGCTACCGTGGCTCCGCGCTGTGCTGGGCTGGGCTACGGACACCCCTCCGCTCCYCTCGGTCAGAAAACATGGGAAGGGAGGAATGAAACACACGTGGTCAGMGCACTACGCTGTGTTGGGTGTTTCGGGCTGTGTGAGGAGTTTCAGCCGCTCAGCCCTTTGTGAGCTGATCCTTGTTCTGGCAGCAGTCCCCAGGGGCTGGTCCCGCTCTCTGGTCCCACGTTCTGCTCCTGGTCCCAGTTCCAGTCTCAGGACAAAGCAGGCTGGGGAGGACAGGGGTCCCTGAGCAGGACACAGTGGGGACACGCGGGTGGGGGCAGGATGGGCTCCCGCCGCGACGGGCGCTGCTGACTTCCAGACATTCCTCCTGTGCGTGGCCGGCACCACCTCGGCTCATAACGTGATTAAAAGATTAAAATCTCTCAGTTCAGCAGCAAGCAGTAAATGAAGCTTGAGACAGGGATGCTGGGGGGCTGTGGTGCCCAAGGCCCCCGTGACAGCGATGTGGCGCCTGGGGARGGGCAGCCGAGGCCGTGTGGGCAGGTGGCTCTGGTGCCACAGCCCTCGCTCCCAAAATCCCCTCCTGCCCTGTGCAGCCGGGCACTGAGCCCTGATCCCTCCCCGCCTCCTTCTCAGTTACTGGCCGGGCTGGTTTGTTTGTGGTGGTTTTGCCTTCTCCTGGCCCCGCTGCCCAGGCTGGTGTCCTGCTCTCCCCATGGAGCCGGCCCAGTGCTCAGCTGTCYCGGGGCCGAGGTGAGGCGGGGGTGGCCAGTCTTTGGATGGGCAGGATGTACAGTGGGCACAGGATGGCATCAGATGACATCCGTGGCTGCAGTCTGTTGGCACCCACTGAGGGTGCACCAAAAACTTGGTGCTTATTCCACCCCGGGAGCTGCCTGGGTGCCCTGCCATGGCCATCTGGACACAGTCAGGCTCCTGGACGTGGTGCCCAGCCGTGCCAGCAGCCCCCAGGTCCTCCCTGGGACACAGGAGGCTCAGTGCCAGCGGCACCACCCATTGCTGCCCACGCTGGGACATGCTCGGTGGGAGAACACTGGCACCACCAGGGGCTCTGGGTATTGTCCGGGAGCTGCAGGACAGTGCAGGGACACTCTGTGATGTGGGGACACAGGTGCCAAGGCTGATGACCCCGAGCAGCTGTGGGAAGGAGCTGGGCAGCGGGTGCTGGGCGGTGGCCGGAGGGAAGGGAGGGGASCCACGGGCTTTGGCGGTGCCGCCGCTGACTCACTCGCCAGTGGAAACAGAAATCTTTCCCAGGCTTCCATCACCAGCTCCACAGCACCCCGGGCTCAGCACGGCAGCTCCTCAGGGCCGGTAGGGTGCACCTCGAACAGCCCTTCTCCAGCAGCACCCACGGCACAGCCCGGCAGGGATCCGGGGCTCTGGTGGGCTCTGCTCAGCCCATGCCGAGGTTTGTCCCTGTCCCTGCGGATGTGCAGCCAGGCTGGCTGGGAGCCAGCAGCCCCCAGCACGCAGCAGCCCCAGCTCTGCGAGCCCCAGGGCCACCTTTCCTTCAGCCGGGAGCCCCAGGACGGCGGGGGCAGAGCCCTGCGGCAGTGTCAGACACTGCCCGTATTCATGGAGCAGCGGCACCAGGGCACTGAGGGGGCAAGTCCTCCCCCAGACTGGCCAACAAAACGGGCATTGAGGGCCGGGCAGACCTGGGCTGTCCACGGCATTTCCCCGCCAGGCCAGGCGCTCTCGGCATGGGCTTTGTGGTCAGCAGCTGCCCCGGACACGCTGCTCGCACGCAGCCAGAGCCGTGCGGGGCCAGCTCTTCCAGTGCCCGTGTGCCGGACATGGCACTGCCGAGGGCACCGGGGTGTGCCCAGGTGGTCACTCCCGAGCTCCCTGCCCTGCACAGCATCCCCATGTCCCTCTGTGTCCCGCTGCCCACACACCCGCGGGTGCAGGAACCGGGATCAGCYCTGTGGCAGCAGTCAAGGACCATGCTGAAGGAGGGAGGTGACAGGAGCAATGGCAGGAGCGTTTGGGGAACTGGGGTTTGTGTCCATCACAGCAAACACCAGCCAGGGGACGTGGGTTGAGGGCTTTCCTCAGCAATACTTGGTTCACAGTTGGACTGTATCTTGAGGGTCTCTTCCATCCTAAAAGATCCTGTGATTGTACAGCTCACRTCTGCCTCTGCCCCCTCTGCAGCCCCTCTCCCCGCAGCCCCAGGCCTGCCCCAGCTGCAGAATTGGGTCCAGGAGCGGGTGCTGTGAGCTCCCAGAGACACTGTTGGCTCCAGGCCGGTCCTGCTGTGCTGGGCAGAAACATCTGGTCCTGCTGGATGTGTTCCAGGGCACAGGGCCAGGGCTCCCTCTGCAGCAGCACCAGCCCTGGGCCGTGCCCCGCAGCCAGCCAGCAGCTGCTCATCCGTCCTCATCTCCGCCTGGGAAATTATTTATTTGCTGTAAACCGTCTTTTCCTGGGAAGACTCTCCAGTGCTGAGGGATATCATCAGTTACGAGGAGCAAATAAACAGTTTGAGCCTCTGAGATTCTGACACTCTGCAAACAGCAGTGCTAAACCCACAGCCGGTGRGGTCCCAGGGCACTGACCCCACAGCCAGGCAGTGCCATGCCAGAGGGGCACAGGGGCCACACGGCCTGCAGTGGCACACGGGAGCACTGTGTGTCCCCACAGAGGCAGCACAACACCGGGGTGCTCTGGGGAATCTGYGTGGCTGTGCCTTGCTGTCCCAGCAGGAACAAGCATCTCCTCTGCCTGGGCCCTGGAGGAGGCTCATCACTTCATCTGTGTCCACTCAATCAGTCTGTTRTTCATGGTCACTTAAAGGGCTGCTTGTCTGCAGGATGTCTCCTGTAACAGGGCAGCTCTCTTGGAAGGGCCGGACTGGTTGGTTTTGTCACACAGCTATGGGTGGATGGAGTAATTCAGCTCCAGGATTTAGTGCAGTGCCAGAAACACGTTCACCTCCCCAAACTGCGGCTGTGGGCTGTGCACAAAGCAAAGCCTGAGCTGTTCTCTGGTACTGGCTCCCACTTCAGCATGGGGATGGCTCTTGGCTGTTCAGTGCCTGCTGAGCTGGAGGTTTTCCCCATTTTTGATCCCCCTGCTCTCATTATTGACTGGCAYGCCAGTGATCTGTACTGTGATGGGATCCTTGAGACAGCAGATCCTCAGCTGTGGCTGAGGTGGAAGGTGACACCTGGAGCACCTGTGACAGTCACCAGTCACTGCAGTGCAGAGTTCACACCATGTTTGCTTTGCCATGTTGTTGGGAATGCTGGCAGAGCCGTCAGGCTCCCCTCAGCTGCACTGCTGGAACAGCACAGGGCACACACCTCTCCCAAGAGAAGCCCAAATGCAGCCAGGCAYGATCTGCCCCAGCCTGCCCCGTTCCCAGCACAGGGATCAGCCCCTCTCCGTCTCCTTCAGGCACCCGGCTCCTRGCACAGAGAGTGCAGACCTGGGATCCTCACAGAGGGTGCTCCTGCTCCTGGGGGCTGCGTGTGCCGGGGAAGAAGCTCATAGCCCACCCTGAGCAGCTCTCTGTGGGCCACAGCAGGACAGAGATGGAAAGAGCCATCTGTAACCCTGCCTGCCTTGCTGGGAATGGAGCCYGAGCCAAGGAGCCGGTTCCCACACGCAGCACGCCGTCCCACGGCACGCTCTGGCAGCGTTGCCCTGCGCTGTGCCAGGCCGGGAACTGTCGCTGCCAGACACGTCCCATCCACCCCCGGCTCCAAACAAAGCCATGGCAAACCCCGGCTGACATCCTGGTGCCGCCACCCCTCGCAATGCCACCATGTAGGGGAAATTCTCTACACCACACGTGATTAGACCTCTCGGGATAGAACTCATTTGAGGCTTAAAAATCYTTAATTGAAGGAGCAGAATTAAGATCATTTTCCTAAACAGAATCTGGATCCAATCTAGGAACCCCCTAATGGAGAGGGAATTTTTCATGTTCGAATGCATTGGCTGCACTAACACAAACCATGAGTGCTGCAGCCCTCACGCTCCAGCAGCACTGTGGAACTCCTCACAATCAGAACCAAAAAAGGCTTTTGGAATTGTAACTCCATCTCCAAGTCCTGAAGAACTTCACGGGGGATAAAGACAAACCGTTTAACCCATGCTGTGCCTTGCAGGTAGAAGCATGGAACAGCGAGGCCACGGATGCCCTGGGTATTCAGTGATATCAGCCTTGGAGCTCAGACTTTTTTCACACCGTGAGCTCCCGTGCCCTCATCAGAACCCACACCCAGAGAATAAAGGGGTTCTTGGGAGCTACAAGTTGCCCAGAGATCCAAAACAAGTGCTGACAAAATCCTTCAGTTTCCATGATGCCCCCTAAAACCCCTCAGCTAATGAATTTATTTCTGTTAACGCTTAAAACACTGGCACAAGACAAAACTTTAAAACTGAAGTGATAAATATTAACTGACTACCAATGTTTGTGAAAAGCTTTCATTTTACATCAATCTCAGGTTAAATACTTTTTACATGTTTGAGTGATCTGCATCCATTGCCAGCTCCTCAGAGGAAAATAAACTGCCAGGTCTGTATTTTCATCAGCAGTCACAGTTCAAACACTTTCTGTGAATCCTTCCACTTCTATTAATCTGATGACATCTTTATGATCTTTACCCACCACTACCAAAGAAATCACCAGTGACACTTCCAAATCAAACTCCATTTAATGAGCCAWCCTCAGCCCCCCAGCCCAGAGCTGCAGTTTGCTCAGGGCTATGCCTTGATGGCGAATTTCCGGGCCGGGTACAAACGTTCCTTTCGCTGCTGCTTCTTGGTCTTCAGGTTCTCCTCGTGCTTGTTCAGCCGGCGCCTCATGGCCCGAGTTTTCTTGGGCCGCAGATCCAGGGGTTTGTACTTCTTGCCCTGTTTGCAAAGACACACGGCAGTGGGGTTTAGACACGGCTCCAGGCTGAGCTGAGCTGAGCTGAGCTGAGCTCCTGCCACAAACCAGCACCACTGCTCAAGCCTTTCTCCATCGGGACTATCAGTACAGTCTGGAAGTTTAGGACACTCCAAGCCTCAGTTATTCAACACCTCTAGTAAAGCTTCCCCCCTGCAACTGATTTAATTCAAACTCCAAGARGCAATATTCTAAAAATTACAGAACCTTATTCAGATAAAGAATTTCTTCATCACCCGCAAGATGGTTACATTTAAAATAAAAGAGTATCTGCATTTCTGCAAACTGCATCTTCCAGGAAGTTCACCACACCCTACAGAAGGGATGCTGCAGGAGAAGACTCCCCAGCAAAAGCAGATTCCCAGTAAGTTAGAGAATTCTTGCAGTAATGCTTAAAAGYAACCATRGCCAGAGAACTTTAAAACTGAACATAACGTTTTCCACTGAGTTTTAAGCTTTTAAGTAGCMATTGACAAATTCAGTTCCTTCCCACAATCGCTGTAATTGTTAACAGCAAGAGATGAAAGGCCACTTGTTTGTCCTTACCTTGTAGAACTTCCTCAAGTTCTCCTTCTGGGTCTGGTTGATGACAGTGAGCACTCTGGCGATGGATTTGCGCACCACACGGCTGCAGGTGGAAGGGACAAAGACAAGGATCTCAGGACAGCCTGCAGCACCATCTCCGCGGACCAAACCCGGGGTACAGAAACTCTGTGTGCTCCGGAGCATTTACACCGCACCGTATTACAGCAAACACCGACTGCTCCCGGCTCTGAGCAGACACACAGACCGACCCTCAGCCCCACAGAGATGTGTTTCTCCACCATGCCGGTTTTTAAGGATGTTTTTACAGCACACAACAACCACAGCCGGTGAGCGCAGCTCTCAGACACGGCGCTCTGGTCACTCCGCGGTCCCTGCCCTGCTCCCCTGGTCCTCCCGCAAACACTCACATTTTGGACAGCTTGGAKGCGGCCCCACCGGTGACTTTGGCCACGCGCAGCTGCGACAGCTCCACCTTCAGATCGTCCAACTGCTTCAGCAGCTCCTCCTTCTTCTTCCCGCGCAGATCTCGGGCCTTGATCTTGGCCTGCGRGCAGCGGACAGGCCGTCAGTACCCCCGCCCGGCCTCCAGACCGGCATCCCCCACCCTCCACCCCCGCGGAGCGAATATGCGGGCCCGGTGGCATGTGGGACTGCCGGGACTCCCGGTCCCGGTGTATCCCCAGGCGGCCGCTGTCGCGGGATGTCGGTGGGTTCCCGGTGGCCGATCCCGCGGGATGCCGGTGGGTCCCCGGTGGATCCCGAGCGGCCGATCCCGCGGATGCCGGTGGGTCCCCGGTGGCCTTTCGCGCGGATGCCGGTGGATTCCCGGGGACAGCTCCCGCGGATGCCGGTGGATTCCCACCCCGCGGATGCCGGTGGATTCCCACCCCGCGGCCCCGGCCCCCTCACCATGGCGGGCGGCGCGCGGCACGGAGCGGAAGGACGGAAGCCGTGCAGGGACAGGGGCGGTGCCGCGGCCGGACCGTACCAACACGCCCCGAGTGGGGGAGGAGCCTCCGCACCGTGCGCCCCCCGCGGGATGCACGGTGGTCCCAGCCGGGGCGCTGACAGGCCGGGCCGGGGGCACGGTCAGCCCCGGGATCTGGGGCTGGAGCCCCGCGGGCGCCGCTCGGGGCTGCGGCTGCCACCCCCGGCCTCTCTCGGCGGCAGGAGCCCGGTCAGAGCGCAGCCGGTGTTCCCGCGCTGGCCGAGGTGCGGCACTMTTACACTGGCAGTGATGGGGACGTKAYGGCGGGCGGGGCGGCAGCGGCCGCCGCGGCGGAACGGAGCAGGGACAGAGGCAGGGACAGGGCYGTGAGCGCGGGCKGCCGCTCGGGRCGGACGGACGGACGGMCGGGCCGGTGTCGCTCCCCGCCGTGCCGCCGCCGCCGTATCCAGGCAGCCGCCGCGCCTCACCGGCCGCGCCGGGGGGGAGGGGGCGGAGCCTCTCGATTGACAGCCGGCGCAGCCAATCAGAACGCATTCTCGCAGCCAGCCTGAGCGCTCGGCCAATAAAAGCGCGCGGGGGCGGGGGCTGGCCGGCACGGACCGGCGCGAGGCGGCAGCGGCGCTCCCCGAGTCTTGGCGGCGGCGGCGCTGC